GCCGCCGCCGCCCCCGCCTGGCTCCCCTCAGGGAGAAGGAAATGGAGGCACGGGAGGAAAGGCCTTCGGGGTGGGGGGGCCATCTCCTGAGGGAAGAAGAGAGGACCGTCCTTTTCTCCCCCCCCACACCTCTCCCCTCGCTCTGTGAAAACCCAAATCCTTCTTTCTCTCTATTTCTCTGAGGAAAAGGGTCGCCTTCTTGGGCCCGACCTGCCCCCCCCTCAAAGACCCCTCCCCCACGGGGCCATGGCCTTTCTTCGGCCATTTGAGCCCTGGTGGTTCCCGAGCCTGGCGGTGAGCCTGAGGGACCCTCGAGATTGACCATCCAGAGACCTGACTTCTTTTTTTATTAATAATTATTATTATTATTAATTATTATTATCATTATTAAGTAATTAATTACGCCAGACGGTCCCCAAAGTCTGTTGGGGGCAGCCCTACCCAACCCGGTTTCTTGAAGGACAGTAAATCTAACAGGGTCCTCTTGATACCCTTGCGAAGGAAAAATGAAATAATAGCCGCAAGGATGAGCCAACCAACACAGGAGGCCAATGGATGAAATAGGACTTTTTCGTGGTAGTTGTTTGTAGCCGAGGGACTTTCAATATAGATTTGGTTGCAGTTCGTGCCTTTGTCCTCCTGCCCGCTTTTGAGGGTCACTTTGGCTCCCTGCCTTGGGATAAAGGCAAGAAACACACAAATGTGGTTGCGATATATACATTCCTGTGTACAGTATATACAGATATGGAGCACAGTAGAATTATTTGGGTGCAAGTTCTATTGAACTGGGTGAAGGTTACTTCAGAGGAGACACGCTCACATTGCTCAGCACTAAGATTTCGGTTTTGCAGTGCAGTCCTAAGCTTACTTGAGAGAAATAAATCCCCACTGAATTTGGTGGGTTCCTCTGTTTATTGGATGGCGGCCTTACAACTTAGTCCGTTTCATGTTTGCTTAAAAGGAAATCCCATTGACCCCATTAGGATTTTTTTTTTATTCTTGCAAACATTTAGGAATATATTTTTAAAATAATGTGGATTGTGATAAAGAAGCCCCGTTTAAGTACAGCAGCAAAAACATACCCGATGCCATTTTATCGGCATTGCATGGAAACAAACATTTACGAATGATGATGAAGACAGCAGTTTTGAAATATAAATAAATACAGTACACGTAAAGCCCTCCAGATGGGAATAGTAGATGATGTGAACCCTCCATGCCATCTTAGCTCCTGCAATTTGTCTTAAGCGGTTGTGTTTCCTTTTTTAATCTTCCATGGTTTTCAGACAAAGATCTAATATGCGTATACCAAGGAGCCAGTGCAATACATTCATGTAGACACGTTTTGAATAATAATGATGATGAAAGTGTGCCATCAAGTCAATTCTAACTTATGGTGACCCTTTTTCAGGGTTTTCCAGATTGAAAATACTCAGAAGTGGTTTCCCATTCTCTTCTCCTTCCAGGGTTGCCCTTGGACTGTGCAGCTTGCCCAAGGCTACACAGGCCGGCTCTTCTCCCAGGAGGCCCAGTGGGGTATTGAACACCCAACGAGATACTGTACCTAAACCCTGATTACTGACCGTGTTGACTAAGGTTGATGGAACATGGAATCCAAGAACATCTGGATGGGCCACTTGTGCCTGAGCTCTGCTTTACAGGTACCCAACCATTCATAGAACATTTGAAGTCATTTCCAAAGAGTTAGTGTGTGAGTCTCCTACAGGAAAAAAAGAACAGCAACACCCAATGTCATGCAGAGTTTTAAAGTCTAACACAAATGATGGCACAAGTTTTCCAGCCTCAGTTTCCGGTACCTTCAAGTGATGCCTCCTCCCCTAATCCCAGGGAGCTTCCATAAATTGAACCAAACTGCTAGACTAGATGAACTTGTGGTCAAACTCAGCAGATGGAAAATTCCCATGTCAATATTTGCCCTTCGCACCCACCATGATCCAAGTGGAGGAAATGGGTAATTAGAAGAGATCAGAACAATTATCCTTTTCAAGTGTTAGTGGTGGGCAATTTATTTTTCCGCCATAGTGCTGTATTGTACGCCCAGTGAGAACAGTGTGTAGCAATATGTTATTTTTAAAGGGAGAAACTACGTCTATTCATAAAAGTTTCATCTGGGTGCCAACACAGTCTCCTACAGCTTTAGTTCCATGGAAACCGGTGACACGAGTCGTACATGATTTTGCAGTTCTCTTTGTATGCACTCAGTTGGACATACTTTGGCAAAATAAATGCAGACTGTAAAACCCTCTAGGCAGGAACTCCGTGTAATTTCTGTCCTCTGTCGAGGCGATCAGATAAAGTTATGCTAAAATTACAAGAAGTGTTTCCTGCTCGAGGGGTTGCAGTGTTGGTAGCCAGATTCATGGTGGTTAGTATAATGTGGGCAGCCCTGACTTTGTTCTGTGCCACACGAGACTTTTTGAATGATTTCCCTCAGATTATTTTGTTGGGATTGGGATTGAGATGCAGAGAGCCCGTGGTGCTCTGTCATTGGCACCATCTGCCAGTTGTTTCTGGGCTCCATTCAAAGGGTTAGTTTCAACTTTGAAACTGCAGCCCAAGCCAAGAGGCTGGCAGCTCATAATAGTCTTCCTGACAGTACAGATTGCAGCACTCATTCTGGTTCAGTTTGGAAGCTTTCACATTCAGCCTAAATGACTTTTTCACTCCATTACTTCAATAACTCTCAAACTATCTGTACTTAATTGCTACGTGTAGGTTTTGTTCAACCCCTGAAAAAGGCTGCAAGAGATTAACAGGCTGAAACAGGTAGAACATTTTAAGAAATAAACATTTTACAGCATGTTAAGTGTCTCTCCTATATGTGGGTTTTGTTTGGATGATGTCCATTTCTTGGTCTTTTGATCAGAGTAATTAGTGTTCCATCTCTTGAGAGGGAACTTTCAGCTTCCAGTAGGCAGCCAAAATAGTATTATTTATTTATACAACTGTTAGTCTTTAAAGTTTATTTTAACAATTGGTGTTAGTTGCTGTCATTTTAAAAAAAATATTTGAGATCTGTTTTATTTTATTTTGCTTTGGGAGTCTTGGTGAGCAGGAAAACAATTAACAGATACTTTGAATTACCCCACTGGGGTGTTAAGACTATCAGGTGAGGCCTTTCTTGCAGTCCCGCCACCTTCACAGGTATGTTTGTTAAGGTCATGGGAGAGGGCCTTCTCTGTTGCTTCTCCCAGACTGTGGAACTCCCTCCCACAAGAGTCCACCCTGGCCCCATCTTTGCTGTCCTTCTGCAAGCAAGTAAAAAACTTTCTCTTCAGGGAAACTTTCCCTGAGTGACTGCCTGCCTGAATGCTGTCATTCAGTTGGATGGTTGTGCATTACTGCTTTGAATGTTTTTTTGTGTGTGTTGCTTTGTTTACTGTCTTTTAGTGTGGTATGTATTGGTTTGATCCTTTTTAGTATTTGTATACTTACTGTTTTTAGTATTGTCTTTAAATGATTTGTGCTGCCTTGGGTCCCATTTAAGGAGAAAACTGGAGTAAACGTATAATTAATTGAAGTGACCTCTTCCACAGGGTTAAAAAGTCTCATTATCTATGGAATTCCATTTATAATAAATAATGGCAGGGAGCACAGTTCACTAGGGGTGTATTTCCATATCAAGTTAACTGATCTGCAACACTCCTTATAACAGTAAAGGGAAACGTCAGCTCTTCAGAATTCTTTCCTACAAAATGCATTAGCTGCCTCTAGTAAGGCCAGCAGTGAGGGAGCTGTAAGAGGGGTAATCAAAAATATCTAGAGGGCCAAAAGATCCTCACCCCGTTTCAAACTCTTTTCCCCCGATCAAAAGATCCATGGTCAAAATTCTAGCAGATTCTAGCCTGAAATGTTCCAGACAAATAAGAAGAGCAGCTCTTTTGAACTTGCCCCCTCTAATCATTACAGGATGGAAAATTACTGCAGGTTCAAATTAGACTAGTAAGAGAGTTTCCTACTGAAATTACATGCATAACATCATCCTATTTTTAACTGAATCTACAAGAAACTCTTTCCACAATGGTCAGCTCCTTTTGTGCATGAATACAACTTAAAACAGGAAGTTAAATTAAAAGGAAGGCTTGAACTGCTGTAACATTCACAGGAATTGGTAAGTTCCACTCTTTGTGGAGCTTTGATTGAATGTTTTCTGACACACATTCACACTGACATCACCATGAACGGGTGAATACTGTGAATTTAATTAACCTTAAGTTATTTAAAAGAGATTCCTAACAAATTACATTGGGGAGATCGGTATGCAAGGACACTAATGCTAACAAAGAATGCACACAAAATGTACTTCATGCTCCATGTATCAGTGTGTTCACCCTCTTGATAACAGTCCTTGTTACTGATATGTCAGTATTACAGAAGTCAAGAGCAATGGAAGCTGGCATAACCTTCGGGATTCTCAGCTGCATGTCAACTTGACATTAAGGTTTTATTTTCTTTTCAACCCTAAGAACAAAAACAAACAAACAAAACAAAACCCACAAGCAAGGTGATAACAGTTGTGTTTGAACTGGTGTCTTACTTTTATCTCCACCCCCCGCCACTCGAAACCCAAATACACTATTCCCATATAGATTTGACATTACATATTCTGGGCCGTGGTGGTGAGATCCACACTAGGACCATTTTCAGGGCAAGGCAGAACCAGCATTCACAGGATAAGACTAGTCAAGACAAGCATCTCCCTCCCTATATACGGCATTGTGCTCAGGCGTCAAAGACGTGCCTTGGCAATATTGACGGTGCTTTGGAAACAATTTGTAAGGTGGCAGAAAGCTTGCAAGTGAAAAAGTTCTGAAGAGGTACAGTGCTGGCAAGTCATTTTGTAGCTGGGAGTGTTTGGGCAGGTTTTGATGGGTAAGATGATGATGGAATCGCGCTCTCCAACGAGAAAATAAGTATTTTTATAGTTCAGGCCAGGCTGTGGGTCAGGCGTGCTTGGCAACGACAGAAGACAGGACAATATAGGTACAGTAGCTTCTCCCATATTCCAAAATTCCTTCTCCTGAGGCAGGCCAGGTTGCTTGCACCTTTCATATCCTCTTGTTATTCCCAGGTCGTGTTTTTCAGGTGGATCTACGATCCTTAAATGGATTTGTTCAGTTGCAGAAATAGGATACTGTTTATTTACTAATACATTTGTGACCAGATTCTGTCATTTTATTATAATTATGTTTCATTTTGAGCTGTCTTGAAAACCATTTGCGATGGGAAAATAAGTTTACTAATAAATGAATCAACAAAGGGGGAATCTTCTAGTTTTGTTGGAGTAGCCAGTTTGGGGTCTCTGAACTACGTCTGAGTTGTCTAACATAAGACACAACACAACTGCAAATACTCCTGACAATATTCATTTGCAAAACAGAGATGGGTTAAATGATCTAGATTGGTCTCTGTGGAGGATTCATTAAGGATGGTTTCTCAAAAGCAACCACCCACCCTTCACCCAGTAGGAAGAACCATCAGGCAGAGATTGTGTGACATTAAGTTACTTTTGTGGGTTACGGTTGCTGGAATCTTCAGACTAGTAAAGCTGTTATTCATGCTAACTGCAGGGCAGGGGAGGTTCTTGGAATTTACTGCCAGAGAAAGTAACTTCTCCATACTCTGCAGGCATTTGGCTATTTCCTATGCCTTGCCCGCCCATTATTTTTACCTGTTCATGCCCTCACCCTCCTCATTTGAGCCTCACAATAGAACCATCCGGTGGGGTGCGTAGAATGGGTTGAGAATAGTGCAGCTGGCTTGATACTACCCACTGAGTGTCAAGGCCAAGTGGGAAATTAGATCCCTGGCCAGCTACACTATCGTCCAACACAACGGCTATGGTACACATCATTCCCACGTGTGTGTTTCTCTCCGATTGGAAACCTGTTTAAATGTTTGTAAAGGGCCTTCTCCGGAATTCAGTACAGTAGATACTGATTTATTGAAGCATTTATTCCAAGCATGATATTTTTGGGTGACATGGAAGAGCACAGTTTAAGATCAACACTCTGAAATCATTTCTTTCAGACACTTATTTAAGCTTGTGAATCATTTATGAATGAATCACCACAATTGTTCTAACTATGACACACACACCCTGCAGAAGTGTTCAGAAACTGCCAAGCAGGACAAGTTATTCAGAACATACTGCTTTCTTGGCCCAATTCAAAGCACCACTTATGTGTTTCAGAGACGTTAAAGGACCTGTGCCGAGAGTACTAGAAGCCCCCTCCCGTTTTTCATTATCTAATGACAGTTATTCCGTTCAGAATCTTATCTTTAGTAAATGCTAGACTGACATCTACAGCAGCCATGGCTTCCTCTATTGTTTCGGCCGTCTCAAGCTCTGAACTCCTTACTGTGGCCAATGTGGCTCTAATGTTTCACTCTATGGTACACAAGCCCTCTTTGACTTTTAATGTCAGGCAGGTATGGAGAAAATGAGACCTGTCGGATGATGCCCGATTGCAACACCACACGTTGCCTAACTCTCTTGCTAGACGGTCATTCTTGGGGGCCTTATTTTAATATTTTATATGATAACACTTTCTGTGATTCAATGATACACAGAAAATGCACTGAATCGCCCTCCCCCAATGCATATAAGGCTGTGTTACGAACAACATTAACAAAATGAAGACTTCCGCCAATTCTTCCTCTCCCTACAACTTGCAGGGATTTATTCGGCTGTGGTCATGAATGCTGTTTTAGCAACAAAAGCTATTTTTATGGTACCTGAAGAATAACAACAGAAAACTGTAACCAAGAAGCAAAGTGAAGACAAGGCCACAGGAAAACGGCAAAGCAGTTAACACACACTTTCAAAATTGCTTCTTTGGGAACAGCAAACAATACGCCATTCAAAACAACGTCTCCATATTAATGGCATGGTCATGACTAGCCTTTGAGTGACTGCGTGTGAACATTTCTCTCTCCCCTTTGGAGCCAGCTGAAACCAGCAAGGTAATTCATGAGAATGTCGCTCACAGCAAAATATTTTTTCCAAGATCAGATGAAACACTGTAAGAAGTATTTTCATTAGCCTGTCGTACGGTGCCACAAGACATTTACTTACTATTCGAGTAGCCAGCAGTGATAGAGAAGACCAAGTCCCTTTCACTATTACGTTCAGCAGTGCAATAACAGAACGAGTGGACTGGCAGATGCTCTCCTCATGGAGACATTTCTTTACCTCTGTAGACGGAACTACTCTCTCTTAGGAAGAAGGGTCTAGAAACTGAACACTATCAGCGTCTCACAGGCCCCAGAAGATTCACACAACAGATCAAAAGAATGGCCTCTTCTCTGAGTGGGCATCATGGCACTCAGCCAGCACAAGGGACTGCTCTGATGTAGCTCCTTCTGTCCCTTTCTCTTTGCACGTAGCCCTCAAGAACGCTGTTGGACGGCAACGGCCCGCCTAGTGAATCTTCAGGGACGAGAGGAACCATAGTCCAAATACATCAGGAGAGCTGCCTAGTCCCACCCCTGCTGTATAAGCAACAGTACTGGATTGTACCACCACCTATTGGAAGGCAGAAAGAACCATTCTCCTGCTGCCCATGTATGCCTGGCTATCTGGTCCCTTTGTGTGGATTTTCAATGGAGAGCTCACTGCCTGGAAAACAGTTTAGTGTTATGTTTACAGAACTGACTCGATGGCACATGGTTA